TTCTGCATTATACATTACTACATTATTTTTTAGTAGTAAAAACTAAAAACTTTTTATTATAATAATTATTTATATTAGATTAGATTAGATTAGATTAGATTAGATTTTTATCAAAAGGGTATTTTTGTTCTCATGACAGTTGAACCCTGTAGCTGATTTAATGAAAATATAGTATAATTGATGGCCGGTAATTACATTTTTTTTAAATAATTGTATTATATTTAAATATTATTTTAATAAGAAAAAACTATATATATATAGTGCCTTGCAAAAGTATTCATACTCATTAATTTCTTTCATGTTTTATGTTGCTGCCTTATGCTAAACTGCTTTAAATTTCTTTTTTTTTTTATCAACATCAATCTACACTCCATACACCATATTGACAAAGCAAAAACTGAATATATATATATATATATATTACTGCATTTATTTATTTACTGCATTGGTTTTATAAGATGTATGTAGTGTGTGTAACTGAAGAATGATGTGAACTGGGTCCAAAATTATCTTTCATGCCACACCAGCTAATGGTGGGTAAATTGAAAAAGAAAAAAAAAATTATAAATTATTTTATTAATAATAATAATAATGCTTGATTGGTAAAAATTATATATTATTTATTTACTGCATTGGTTTTATTCAATGTTTTTAAAATTGCAATTTTTATTAAAAGTGTATTTTTGTTTCTATGACAGTTGAACTCTGAAGCATATTTGTCTTGAATTTTTAGGCATATTAACATATTTAAAAACAACAACAAAAAAATAGGCATCCCAGGTAACCTTCTGAAGTAAATACTGTTAGAGCTGTGGCAGATTTAGTATTACAGTTTTTGTGAGGGTCAGACTTTTGTTCCTGCAGCTTGATTAAACCCATGTATTGTGTTGTAGTTCTTCATAAAGCTGTCTGGCTAGTTACCGACCGATTTCTATTCTTGTTTGGTGTTCGATGTGGAATTTTGGATCCTGTCTGAGCCTCTGTTTCTATTATTTGTGGATGCTGGTGTGTGAATGAGTAGAAAACATCTGGTGACATTTTCTTTAACTCTAATGGCCACTGTCCTTCGAGAAGGAGGTTCAGGAAGTGAAGGCTGTTCTTCAAGCGATGCTGTCACAGCTGAAGGAGGAGGAAGAGGAGGATGAAGAGAAGTATTGTGATGTAGAAGAAGAGGAGCATTACTTCAGTGACAGCTGGGAAATCTGAACAGACTCATGATTTATATTTATGTTGCATTCACGGTGCCTGTGCAAGTCTGTTTTCATACTGTCATCTTGCACTGAGCTCTCGCACTTAAAGACAATAGTTCATCTTTTTCTAGTTTCATTTACTTGCCCACATGTAATTTTAAAAGCACTGTACTGTACTCTGTGCTGCATTTTAGTCTTTTTTTTTATATATATTTTTTTATTACATTTTTGTTTCATGCAAGTGAGAAAATAAAGTGTTTTGAATGACATGCGGGTGAGTAAATGTTAACAGAAATCATTTTTGGATGAATTATTTCTTGATTAGGACCTCTAACCATGTGCATCTCGTCAGGAGTTGCCTTAAAATATAAAATATAACTCGTGTCAGTGTTGCCAACCACTATTTTATTCTTAATTCTAATCAGTTAGTGTTTATTTATTTACTTACTATATTTTACAGCTGTTACATTGCTTATTTCATCACGAGTTATTTAAGTATATTTAAACCGCATGGCATCCTATTTATTTATTTAAATTGCTTTGATTATGTCATTATTATTTCAGAAAAAACATACATCAAAATCTTTCTGGCACCAAACTTTTTTTATAGATATAAAGACCAATAAACACCTAACGCCTAAATCTGAAAAAGTAAATGGAAACATACCTGTCATTCAGAATGTGAGCTCAGGATTGAAATGTAGCTTAACTCTTTTACGCCGTACGACTGAACTCTGAACAGTGTTTTCAGGTTCATGACAGAAGTTTGTGGTGCTTTGATGAAACCACTGTATTTCAGCCCTGCTGATGTTCTGGGAATTATAAGGGTTATGTAGCATTAAGTGCCTTTTTTAATCGTCTCCTTATTTGAAGCAGAAACGGGTGCTTTTTTAAAGTCTTAATATGTTTTACTTTTTAAAGAAAGCACTTTTGAAATGTAAGCTGTTTTGTCTTTGTGTGGATTTCTCCTGTAGCAAAATGTCATTTGTTTGTACTAATCATATGAATGTATATTTGCATGTTCATCATCTGGTTTTACTCACTACTGTTTTTACATTTTTTTCCCACAGAACTTAAATTGTTAGTAGTATACATACGTTTATTGTTTTTAAATACATTAGATACCCCTGCTTAAATGCCTTTGTATTTTTTTCCAACAAAACAAGTTTAGTTTGTAAAATAGGACACCAAACCGCACAATTTGATATCATCATGAAAAGATATTTACCGTCCATTTGTGTAATATGAATCAGAACAGATTTGCAGAAATGTAGCATTGCATCTCTTGCTCAGCAATGGATGCTCTGCAGTGAATGGGTGCCATCAGAATGAGAGTCAAAACAGCTGATAAAAACATCACAATAATCCACAATCCACACCACTCCAGTCCATCAGTTAATGTCTTGAGAAGACAGAAGCTATATGTTTGTAAGAAGCAAATCCATTAAGATGTTTTCAACTTTGAACAGTCGTTTCTGGCTACAGTACGAGTCCATAATCCATAATAACGCTTCCTCCAGTGAAAAAGTCCATCTCCTGTTGTCTCTCATGTAAGGGAAACAGGTCAATTTAGCTCAAAGGGAATCATTTAAGATTTTAAAGGGAATTTGGACAGAATCACTGTTTTACAGCTGATCACTGAGACGATCTGTGCAGATTTCTCTCCTGATTCAGACCAGACTACTTTATCACTGGAGGAAGCGTTATTATGGATTATGGAATCGTATTTTAGCAACGGTTTGAAGTTAGAAACATCTTGGCAGATTTGTTTCTTATAAACACGCAGCTTTTGGTTTCACAAGATGTTAACTGCTGGACTGGAGTGGTGTGGATTAATTGTGGATTATTGTGATGTTTTTATCAGCTGTTTGGACTCTCATTCTGACGGCACCCATTCACTGCAGAGCATCCATTGCTGAGACACTGATGCAATGCTACATTTCTCCAAATCTGACGAAGAAACAAACTCCTTTACATCTTGGATGGCCTGAGGATGAGCACATTTTCAGCAAGTCTTAATTTTTGGGTGAACTATTCCTTTAACACTCCATCCCAAACCCTTGAGTTTGATCAGATAAGCGTCACGTCGTCACTCAACAATGAACACATCCAGTAGAATAATAGTGCAGGTTTATGAGCGGCACATGCATCAGCTGGAGGCAGATCACACGCAGCACCTGCAGCCTTCAGTGGACAGGTACAATCTTGTCTCCTAATTGAATCTTTGTTTATGCCACGTTGCTGCTGCTCAGGTGGATTCGTTTCGCCCTTCTCTATGGAAACAGACCAGTTGGTGTGTTTGCGGTACACACAGCATGTAGAGATGCTTCTTATTTTAAGTTTGTTCACTGAAGTAAAATTGACTGAATTAAATGTGAAATAGCTTGTAGCTGTCTTTATAAACGTTGATGGGAATAACAAAATATTTACTATCAAAGGGATATTTCACCCCAAAATTAAAATTCTGTCATTAATTACTCACGCTCATGTCGTTCCAAACCCGTAAGATCTCAAATATTTGTGATGAAATCTGAGAGCTCTCTGACCCTGTATAGACCGCAACTTAGAGCTGCACGATTATGACAAAAATCATAATTGTCGATTATTCCCTTTAAATTGTAATTGCGATTATTAATTACGATTATCACAATTTACATTGAATGATGTTTATACCATTGTTTGAAGAAACTGCATGCCATATTTTTATATGAAAATAAACAAGCTGAAAACACTCAAAGAGAAAATCTTTTATTGCTTTTATATGGCATTAAGGCTCAAATGTCAACTGTACATTGGATTGGTTTCTTCTTTAAATAATAATAAAAAAGTGAAAATATGAATGGTATTATAATGTTATACTAAAACGAAAATTTAAACAATGGAAAAACCCTTAAGATAACCTGTAAAAAGAAAAAAACATCTTAAGCACTCAGAATAAGTGGACTTTGAACGATTAATTGCCACTTTGAACGATTACATAATTGTGGCATCTGTAATTGTAATCGCAATTAGAAATTCGATTAATTGTGCAGCCCTACCGCAACGCAACTGAAATGTTCCCAGGCCCAGAAACGTAGTCAGGACATCCATAAAACAGTCCATGTGACATCAGTGGCTCAACTTCAATTTTGCGAAGCTACGAGAATACTTTTTGTGTGCAAAGAAAACAAAAATAATTTATTTAACAATTCTTCTCTCCCGGTTAACGTTCTTCCGCCATTTCGGAGAGTACCAGGACGCATGCCTGCACTTCCTCCTGAATGAAAACAACATGATTTCGTTGATTACGTTAAGGGGAAAGCGCAAAAATTGAAGTTGAGCCACTGATGTCACGTGGACTGTTGTACTGATGTCTTTACGTTTCTGGTTCTGGGAACAGTTCAGTTGCGTTGCTGTCTATGGGGGGTCAGAGAGCTCTTAGATTTCATCAAAAATATCTTAATTTGTGTTCTGAAGATGAACGAAGGTCTTGCGGGTTTGGAACAACATGAGGGTAATTAATGACAGAACTATCACTTTAAACTTACTTTTTTGATACGTTATTTATTTATATATTTTCTCCTAAATCAAGTAAAAAAGGCCGGGTTTAGTACTGTTGTTTTCATAATTGCTGAAGACTGTAGAGAGAACATCAATGGGAAAATAAAAACCAGTCATTTTAGGCTATTTTTAAATTTTCCTGGCCAGGACACGTCTGGGAAAAAGGGTATGTATGGTTTGCCTACCCTACTTTTGATGGTCTAAAATGCTATTTTAAATGCTGTTTCCTGCTATCTATATCAGTTTACTATGCAGATATAACTAAGTCATCCATTGGTTGATCTAAAAACTGATTGTGAAAACGAACTAAATCCTCTGCACTTCAGTAACTGTCTGGTTCAGCTCAGCTACCAAATCTGATCTTCTTCTTCTAAATGCTGGAACTGTCATAGAGCCACTGAAAAAGGTGTTTTTGTTTTTAAACACTGGCTCAACCAATCGCGCGAGTCGTGGGCGGAGCTACATGAATGCCTGACCAATGGAAGATGGGGAGAGTTTGGGAAGCCTACTCAGCATTGTTATTTTACCATTATTTATATACTATCTTTAATTAATATTTTTGATTTTGCTTTTATTTTCATTTTAGTTTGTTTTAGTTATTTTCATGTGCTTTTGTCATTTTTAGTATTATTTAATATTTCTATTTAGCTTTATTTTTTATTTCAGTTTTAGTAACTGTAGTACTTATTTTATTTCATGTAGGCCTAGTTACCAGTGTAACATCTCCCATATTCATTCTTTTTTTCAGTTAACAGTTTCAGTTGTTTCAGTTTCTTTATTTCAGTTTTTGTAAAGTTTTAGTGACAACACTGCGTCTCAGGAATGACTTTTAAAGACCTTTAAAATTGGGGACCAGATAAGTCTAGATCAATTCGATTTTTCTCATCTGTCAGATATCTGGAGTAAATTGAACTAGTCTAGTTTCTAAACGAATGTTAAATTTGTAAATCAAATCTTTTCGGGGCTTGACAGGCCCTGATTGTGATTGAACACAAGGAAACATTTGAAGGGAAAACACACTGAAATGACCATTTAATTTGAAGAGAAAGTGTGTGAGGACTTAATGAGCGTTCAGAAGGTCTTAAGCAGCCGTCAGCGTGTGTGAGATGAGACGAGTGATGAACCACAGAGCAGAAATGCTTTCCCCTCATTCTTATTCCGTCATTCTGCCAGTGGAAATCACACTTAATTATGAGCACAATGCCGGTGGGAGCCGCGCCACACACAGACACACACACACACACACACACACACGCACATCGTTTAGGGCTGGATGAGATGTGACAGGCTGCCATTGTTTCACCAGCGGCTTCCTTCCTTTACCGTTTACCTCCGCTTACCTTCACGTCTCTGAGTTCCTGTGGAACGTGAGAGAGTCAGAATCAGAATCAGAATCAGAATGAGCTTTATTGCCAGGTATGTTTATACACATACGAGGAATTTGTTTTCGTGACAGAAGCTTCCACAGTGTAACAGAATGACAGTGACAGAACAAAAAACACAGATAATAA